CATACATACATACACACAGACAGGTTCGTCCCAATATGCGTTTTTGCAATTTGCGTATAGGCAAAAAAGCATAAAAATGGAAAAAAGCGTACGGAAAGTATTATTCATGTCAAAGCGGTAGGCGCTATGCGGACAAGGATCATCAACATGAGGATGAACGTTTGTTCTGGCGAGGAAATATCCGAAGAAAAATAGGAGCAAAACAATAAATATGAGGGTTGCCAAAGCTAAAAATTTCGAACTGCCTTTCATCTGCAAATTTAAAAAAGCTGTAACATTTACAAGAAAAACGCAAAAGTGCCTTTTCTAATTGCAAGACAGTGTTACCAGATGATAGCGGTGGAAAAATTTGACAGCCCGCGGTATCGCGATTCGATCGGCGCGATCAACCAGAGCTATATTTGAGAAATCCGAATCCAATGGCCAGCAATCCCGGTCAGTTATCTGAAATGCAGTGTGTGAATGCGTCTTGTTCAAGGCAAAGGGAAGGCATCGTCTGATCAACAGATCATCGCTTCCATAAAATTTACGTGATGAGCTTTTTAAGGCTTAATATATTCGATGTACCGGAGGTTTTATAACTTGAAATCTTTGTCCTTTTCATCCTCTCAGACGTAAACGCTGCCTGGGCATTAACGAGTGAGTGGGAGGGCGGGGGAGGGAGAAGGAGGGCGTATTTCCCATCAAAACTCAAAATAATTGGCCTACGCACGGGCTGTCCGTGCGAAGATGCGTTTTTTGCATAGTTCCCCGCAGTTTTTGTTACGACCGGCACCGGCTTTTTCGGCAAATGCTTCTAGCTAAACAAATTAAGACTGGCTGCCAGAACTGCCAGAAAAAAAAAAATGCCAGAAATTTCAGCTTTCCAGCTTCCATGGCTCCCGAGTTAGCAACTTACTGGAAAAAAAATTTCATGGGCCCGTACGAGTTCAACATGCATACCCGAGAGTTAGGTTTGAGCTGAATGGAACTTAGTTGGACGGGATATATCCTCTTAAAATTACAGTCCTTTAGCTTCTGAGGTACTCAAGTTATTAGCTTGCCCGAAAAAAATTTTGGCGGGCTCGTACGCGGGTACTACGCTCACCGGAGGGCTGGGTTTGAGCTCACTAATACTCACTTGGACGGGGAACATTACCCCAAGATTTCAGCCTTTTAACTTCTCAGTGCCCCGAGTAATGAAATTGCGAGGGAAAAATTTTGGGGGGGGGGGGACGTACGCGGGTACCACGCTTACCCGGGAGCTGGATTTGAGCTCATTAGCACCTACTTGGATGGGGAACGTTCCTTAAAATTCGATTTTCTAGCATCTCAGAACCCCGAGTTATGAATTTGCGCGGGAAAAATTTTGGCGGGCTCGTACGGGGGAACCACGCTTACCCGGGGGCTGGGTTTGAGCCCACTAATAGCCGCTTGGGCGGGGAACATTATCCCA